TCTGTGGCTCTGCCAGGCGTCTGAGGCAGTTCTGATCCTTCCACCGCGTGGTCTCACCCAAGATGGCGGCTCCTGGAGCAGCCGAGCGTCCCGGACTAGAAAGCAATGGATTTCTTGCTTCTGCCACAAATTCCCGCAGCTGTGCACCTTCCAACCTTGTAAATATTCCTTTATATGTGCTGGGACCAGCCCCTGAGCCTGCTTGGTCGGGCATTCTGTGTTGTTGTTGGCGGAGCTCCTTTACTGCACTTCCACCCGATGCGCCATCTTCTTTGTTCTTCCCCACCCCCCATTTTTAATAACTCTCTTTAAAACCGAAGCGAACCCCTTGGCAGCGAGCCGACTGTGACTTGCAGTGACCCGACAGACCAGAGGAGAGCTGTGCCACAGGGTTTCCAAGACAGTGAATGTTTACAGAAGATGACTAGGAAGGACACTGTCCCCCTGCCCCTCACACTGCTGACTTCGTAGGTCGCAGCTGAGTGCTTTAAACTGCGCCGCCCATGAGCTGAGGACCTCCTTCACTGGATGTGCTATTTTGTCAGATATACATTCAGAGGCAGTGCTGTAGCTACTGCCTGTCTTGGCACCACTCCCCAGTCTGTGCGCTGCAGGCTGCAGAACACTGCTGCACAAAGGGGCTGCTGAGGGGGTCAAAGCTCAACAGATCCTGGGTTCAAGAAGGCCCGCCTGCCCCAGGTGCTCACTCCCAGAGTCCCACAGCTGACCCAGGCCAGAGCTCATCATTAAACAGAGTTGCCAGATATATGGTAACATTTGGCTTACTTATACTAAGACTATTACATTGTTTATCTGATATTCAAATTTAAATGGCCAGTGTGTCTTTTCAACTGATACATCTAACAAATGTATCTTAGCTCTGGTAGAGTAGTGGTTATGAGCCAGGCTGCTAATCTCATGGTCAACAGTTCAAAACTACCAGCTGTTCCACTTTAGAAAGATGAGGCTTTCTGCTCCTGAAAGGCTCACAGCCTTGGAAACCCAATGCAGGGTTTCCTACTAGCATTCATTCAATGAGCTCATCAACATCACGGAGTCCTGGTGCAGCACTGTGGAATAATGCACTGGATTGCAAGGTCAGTTGGAACCACAGGGTCTGTGGTGCAAACTCACCAGCCGCTCCTTGGAAATCCTGCAGAGGATCGCCATGGGTCAGAACTGACTCAACGGCACTTAACAACAACAATGGTACTGTTCCTCAGGGCTTCAAACTAATTCAAATGGGTTCCATCGTGGCTGGTACAGTGAAATCAGAACAGACCTAAATTTGTAAAATGTGGGTGTACTGGAATGGGAAAAATGATGAGTCAAAGACCTAGAGAAGGAGACTGAGAAGGGCGCAGTGAACCTGATGCAGGAGACTGCATTAAAGCCAGGACTGTATATCAGGGCGCACATTCGGAGCAGCATGGTAGGTGGCCATCTTTAAACAGGGCACCATTGTTTCTAGCGGTCCAGATCATGAGATTTGGTTGCTATGCAATATGCACATTACCCTTGTTTTCTAAGACAAGAGTTTAAATTTCGAGCATATCACTGACCCATGTTTCCTGTACTGAATACTCTCCCAATATACCCGCATTTTACAAACTTGAGTCTGTTTCACTTTTGCTCCATCAGCCATGACTGAACTGAGATGAATCATTTCAAAGTCCTGCTGTTGGTGTTATGAGTTTAAGTGTCCCAACACTGAATCAACAGAGGAGGAAACTGAGGCTCAAAAAGACGAGGCTGCTCAGCACATTTTT